GCATCGCATACAGTTTGTGAGGATTACACGATCCACCGAGAGGCACAGCAAAGTGCTGCCTCATCGCGCATCTCCTCCATGTATTTGAACGGGACATACGGAAATTCTGCTATTCTTTATTGAAAAATAAAATCCTTCAACATCGGATTCGAACGGCAAAAGGGCCTACAACACATACCAGCCGACAAATATTAACATTTATTATATTTTATGGTTAACTTTTTTTTTTCAAGATTGCCTGCCTCCCCTGACCGCACGTCACTGTTATACACAGACATTACATTTATAGCTAGGCCTCAGTATGAGTTAAAAAAAAGTGCTTGTATGACTTTTGTTACATAAAATGTGTGTCTTAGTGAACTCTAAGAGAATCGGTCAGTCAGCCCTTCCTGTTATTAAGAACATCGCAGAGTGTTCCCGTAAAAGAGAAGCTAAGTTCGAGAATTGACGTGATCAAGGGGACAAAAACAGGAAAGGAGGCAGGATGGGAGGGTACGGGGGGCGAGCGGTTGCTGCTCTTGTGTGTCTTAGTTAAAAAAAAGTAGTGCGTTATGGTATAGAGGGACAAAAGCACGGATGAACAAGCAGGCAAAGATAGGGAGCTAGCACTTTTGACTGACAATTTGACTAAATGACTGACTTTGGCAATTTTCTCTTATTTATTTCTCTGCAGAGACAGTGGATAGGAGACAGTGGTTCTATCCCCTGCTTTGAATTTTTGTAATAATAAATGATCAATGGAACTGGAATGATTTGCCTGAATTCATTTACTTCACATCAGATATTGGCCACTGCAGTATCCCTCAGGTATTATTATCCAGACTTCAGATGGCTCACAATGCTGCAGCTCGCCTTCTTACAGAACTCGTAAATAAGAACGCGACTCCAATTCTAGCCTCATTTCATTGGCTCCCTGTTTGGCAAAGGGCTGATTTTGAATTATTGCTGTTGCTTTTTAAAGCCGTTCATGCACTCGCTCCGTTATCATACTTCTCTGAGAGTCTTCATCCTCATAACTCAGGAAGATCCCTAAGATATTTGTATCAGCTGCGCTTAAAGCTTCTGAGAAGTAGGCTGAAATCTAAGGCTTCTGCAGCGGTAGCCCCAGATTATGGATCAGTCTCCCCTATATCATTAGATCTACTCCGAACCTGGCCCCTTTCTGCACACTATTAAAAACCCCTCTGCTTTCCAAGGTGTTTGACACTATATTTGGGTTCCGTTATATTACTGTATTGTTGTGTTTTACTCTTCATGCCCCCCTCGCCCCCACATCTATTTTACCTTGACTGCTTTTTATTGTCATTGATTGGACCTCTGAAGCGGTTTGTCACATATGTTTAGAAAGCTCCTATATAAACAAAAATTGCTTTGTCCTCAAGTGACCCTGAGAGGTCACAAACATGGAGGCTGCACTGACAGCAAGGTTCTGCTACCTCTTTAAAGGGGAATACATTTCACTGTGTCAGACCCTACCTATGAAGCTTTTTCAGTGTTTTCTTAGAAACATGTAACCACGGTCTGCTGAAGGCATTGGTGGCCAACATCAGCTGATGTCTGTCCAGTAGCAGGAAATAAAAAAAAGAGCTAAAACACTGGAAAGATGGCATCAGCAGAGTGGGGGTGGATGTCCTGAAGTAGGAACAAGCAGTATAGCTAACGCAGTCAGTGCTGGAAAGACTTCAGTGAAGCTGTGGTGTGCTTTTCAATGCCATCACATTAACCAGTGACTCTAATATCAAGGTTCTCACTGATCTTAGAATGTTGGACATTAAACCCCATGAACACACTGATTACTTCCTAGAGAATAATGAAACTAATCTGCAGAGAAAGAGCCAGAAGTCAGCATAGTGCTGCAACAAAGGGTGATTTTATTATGAGTTCACCTGCCTACTACGCACAGACCGTTTGGCTCAAAAAATGCCAGATATTAATAACATCACCAGGTGCAATGTTCTCAAGTCTCTTGTTTAATCCAACCAACAAAAGTCCACAAAAAAAATATATTCAGTTTCCAGTAATAAGAAACAGAGAAAAGCAGAAAATCATCAGAACCAGAGAATATTTGACTTTTAAGTAGGTAATCGATTATCAAAATACTTGTGTTGGATGACTGCTCGTCTGGAGGTCAGGACTTCAGCCCTCTGTGTGGCTGTGACCTGCAGGCGTCAAGGTTTGAGTCCTTGTCATTAACAACTGGGCGGCAAAACAACAAAGCACCAACCAGTTTGCAGGTCACATGACAGCACTGGAAAAATCTGACTTGGGATCAGGAACAATGACCAAACACTGCATCCTACACACATTTACAACAGTACAGTTACAACAGTGTGTGTGTAATGTGTCCTCATCCCTCGTCTTCCTCGGTGTCCAGTGGTCCTCGGTTGGCGGGTAGGGACGCTCTGATTCGCTGCCAGCGATTTGGTGGCCAGATGATGTGGGATGCCCGACCGTGAAGCAGGCCCACAGAGACCTGGGAAAAAAAACACAAGTCAAGCTGATGCTGGATCGATATCGGCTACAGATAACACAGGTGTACTGTGCTACAGTGTGTCATCCAGCTCAGCCTGCTGGTGCTGCTGTACTGCTCACTGGGCTTTTCACAGCATACATATGACAACAGAGCTTAGAAATCCCTTTTGGGCACTGCCTCTGAGTTCTGACAGTAGGAGTGACAGAACCACAAAGCCCACAAAGTGCTACCAAATCTTTTTGGTTCCTTCTCCTCCTCATCAGCTCCATGGTCTCCACCAACTCTTTGGTTCCTTGGTTCATTTATTTACGGTCTCCACCACCTCCTGAGGTAGGTCCTCTTTGGTTCCTTGGTTCATTTATTTATTTTCATTTCTTTTGTTGATTCAACAGTTAGTTTATGATAGTTCTTTCTTTGTTTTTATCCTTCCTCCATTATCGTTAGTTCTGTGGTTCCCTGGTTTGGATTCAAGTTCCCTGAATTCCTCTTTAATCTTCCAGTTCCTTCTTTGGTTCCTTCTCATCTCTTCTTTGCTTTGTTCAACAGTTCCTATTTTCATGTTCTGTTATGAAGCCATGAAAGGCGGAAATCTGAGCAGCTGGCTGACTCACTGCTATTGATCAAAACCTTGATGTAAAAATGTTAGATGGGAAATGCCCATCTTCAAGTTCAAGTCAAAGTGTTTATTTGTCATATGCACAGTTAGGAAACGTGTTTCCCTGTACAATGAAATTCTTACTTTGCCATCCACATGAATGCCACAAAATACAAATGAAATATAAAGTAGATAAATAAGTAACACTAAATCTAAGGCACTTTAAGCAGCAAATGCAGCAATATAATAAAAAAGAATATAACAGAGAATGTATGCTGCATGGGAGCAGCATGTGCAGCAGTCAACAGTCAATGTGCAATTATGCATATGCAAACTGAGAATGTAAATAGTACAGGTCGACAGTACATGATGTATTTCCTGGTAATAAACTCCTCAGCTGTTTAGGAGTCTGATGGCAGAGGGAAAGAAAAAGTTGTTCAGTCTGGAGGTCCTGCATTTCACACTTCTGAACCTCTGGCCAGGCGAACAGTCCGTGCTGGGGGTGGGTGGGATCTTTGAGGATGGAGGCAGCCTTCCTACACACCCTGCGGTGGTAAATGCTCTGCAGAGAGGGCAGTGGAGTCCTGGTGATCTTCTCCACAGTCTTTACCACTCTCTGCAGGTGCTTGTGGTCCATAGCAGTAGTCCTGCCATACCAGACAGTGATGCAGCTGGTCAAGATGCTCTCAATGATGCAGCTGTAGAAGTTGTTTGAAGCTGCTCACCCTCTCCACTTCAAGCCCCCAGATGAACAGTGGCTGATGAGATCTCCTCTCCTTCCTCATGTCCACTATCATCTCCTTCGTCTTGTCCGCGTTGAGGCTGAGATTATTGTCCTTGCACCATGACACCAGACCGGCCACCTCCCTCCTGTAAGCTGCTTCGTCCCCCGCCAGTGATGCGACCTATCACCTCCGGCCAAATAAACTACAGTCTAAGTCTAAAGTACATCCCATGTGGAGTTTCCACTCCATACTCTATGTAGAGACTGTGGGTGTTTTTTCATTTGTTTCGGCCTATTTCTGATCGACCCAGAAGCTGAGCGCATCAACTGTGGGACTGATGTGCTCCTGAGTGTAAGATCTGTGCTGGGTGGTAGCGAGCACTGCAGGCAGATTTAATATGAATGAGATGAGACCTCCTTCTCAGATGTATGCTATTGGTTTAAGGGTTTTACTCACGTTTCCCCTGGTATGGGCATTTGCTGGGGGCATTAAACAGTCAGGTGTGAGGCTGCAGCTTCAGATATCCAGCAAGAACTAAGATGATATGATTTTGTAAAGTGCAAGATGGTGATGCCTGTTAGGAAGAGTCAGGAACCTGACAGCTGCGTTTCAGGAACATAGAAGCAGCGCCTTTAGCTATCAAGCTCCTCTCCTATGGAACCAACTCCCAGTCTCAGTTCAGGAGGTGGACACCCTCTCTACCTTTAAGATTAGACTTAAGACGTTCCTTTCTGATAAAGCTTATAGTTAGGGCTGGATCAGGTGACCCTGAGCCTTCCCTTAGTTATGCTGCTATAGGCCTAGACTGCTGGGGGGGCATGATGCTCTGAGGTTCTCTCTCTCTGTCTTGTTGCTTTTCTTCTTCTCTCTCTCCTCTATCCGCTCACCCCAACCGGTCGAGGCAGAAGGCCACCCATAATAGCCGGGGTCTGTCGGAGGTTTCTTTCGTTAAAGGGAGTTTTTCCTCCTCGCTGTTGCCAAGTGCTGCTCAGGGGTATTTGTTGGGTTTTTCCCTCTGTAATAATAATAATAATAGCAGTAAGGTTTAGAATTGACTTTGTAAAGTGTCCTTAGATGACTTTTGCTGGGATTTAGCGCTATACAAATAAAACTGAATTGAACTGAATCCCTGGTAGGAAATCCACCAGCTACCCAGTAGGATGTAAAGTACTTCACAGTATAAGTATATAAGGTAGTTACCATCAGCTCCACCTTTACCAGCTGCAGCATTAAAGCTATGAACACAGTAACCGCATCAGTCACTATGATCCAGTATCAGAGACATTACATTACTATATTTATATATCGCATTGAATGGCTAACAGTTGACTGACAAAATTCTTAACTGGGTACAGCCTTAGTATTTTTACATACTAGTAGTAGAATACTTCTTCCACCACCAGTTCTTGGTGATAACACTATAGCTGGTGCAGATCTGCAGAGGAATCATCAGTGATCTGACTGACATTCAGGAAAGATACCAGTGATATCAGTGTTAGTATAAAGTCACAGCTGTCCATAATGTGTGTTTATTGTTCCCTGCAGACATCCAGCACCTACTGGTGATTAAAGAAGAGGACCCCCTTCTGGAAAGCCGCAGTCTAGACCGGGAGGGCTCCAATCTGGACCGAGAGGACTGCGATCTCCACCACATGAAAGAGGAAGAAGAGGAACTCTGGACCAGTCAGGAGGCAGAGCAGCTGAGCAGCAGGTTGACTTTGTACCGGTCCGAAGCTGTTGCTGTCCAGACTGTGTCCGTGATGATCGCCCTCGATCCAGAAGTGGCCATCAGGCACTCGAACGTATCGGTTCTTGTAGCTCAAAGTCCTGAAGGAAAGACAAAGAAAAATCCGGGTTGTGGTTTGAATCTAATGATGTTCAACTTTTACAGATGACTTTTGGTTAAATGTTCTTAGCTCATTCTAATGTCACTCGTGTGCCCACAGCCCAGACTTTCATCTCAGCTCACTGAAAACAATTAGAAACCCAGCAGTGCTTCTGAATATTAGTAATGAGCTGAAACACAACCAAGCTCTGGTTGCAAAAGCTCGAGCAGCCTTTAATTTAAAAAAGTTCAGAGAGGGTTTTTGTGCCTTAACAGAAATAAGCGACAGCAGCTTTGGTGTGTCACATACTGGCAGAAGTAAACAGTACCAAGTATATGTATTCAAGTAGTACAACTCCGTGGAACTTGAGAATTTCCATTTTCTATTATACTACTAATTCGCTACATTTAGTAAAGATTTACTTTGTAGATTATTGCATGTACATTATGAAACACAGCAATACACAGCAACATATGCATTAAAGTATGTATGATTAAAATCCAGTGATTACAATCTTTAATTCTGCAGTAGGCCATTCTGCATTCTGGTCTCTGCTCATGTGACACAAAGAATAGCTCCCAAGTTAATATCATAAGGCAATACAAAGGTAAAATCATGACCATGCTAGGTCGCTAATGTCACCAAAACAAACACATTAGCTTTAGATGCCAACACAGCCAGGCTGAATCTCCAAGCCCCTCCTAAGGTCTTAAGCCCTGAACCCTCAAAGACTTTACTGACGTCACCTACATGTGACTGAGTGCAAGAGTTTGCAGCGGCTGGAAACTGTATAGGTACGGATGGTACAGCACTTTGTGACTTACCATGTCACCATAACAACACCCTGTTTCTAACTATTGTGGGTTTACATTTTTTACTTTCCTCACAGCCAAGGCTGACTGGCTGGTCTGAAAATGGGGGATGTAGCTGAGAGACACCACATCCTGTCCCGCTGTCTTAGCCAGTCATTTAATGTTATGTGGGTGCATGTATTTCCATATTACATCAGGAGCATCAAAATCACATTTGCTGTGGTTGCAGGTGTCATCAACGGACAGGACACAACTTCTCAGTCAGTGTGTCCCAGTTCTGATATCGGCCGTCAGTGTTCTTCTCTAACATGAGAGAGGGCGTGAGAAAATAAAACTCTGAATGGGAAGGTGTGTCCAAACTTGATCACACCGCAAGCTTATCAGCAGGCCAAAACAGAATCTGCATATTATATATATATATTATCCAACAGTGATTTTTTAAAACAAAACTCAGCATAAAAATTATGCATTAATAGAACTAAAATAATCTTGAGCAGGCTGAAAGAAATTTCTTCATATAAATTTTGGGAATTTATTTCTTCAACGTTTCAAGACAAAGTGTGAACCAGCACCACAAAATTTAAGGACATGTGGCTACTGAAATATAAAATTCAGTTTGTTCAAATGTCGGCTACTGACCGACCGCTGCCTAAAAACTTAAGGGTGGGGGGAGTTGGGAGAACAGTGCTCGTTTTCAGACCGGCTCATCACGAGACATCATCTTTGCTCAGACATTAACCTGGGTCGTTCACACAGGCGACTGAGGGGAGCAGCTCTAGAAGGCAACATGAGACGTGACACAGATTGTTGTGTAAGGACTTAAAAAGTAGTGCCTGACAGGTACGTGCAACCAGCCGGTCAAGGTGGGAAGAGGATGGGAATGTCGGATCCTTGGCTTGGAAAATGACCAAAAACATTCACATCATCACACAACTGTTGCACACTTGCAGGCGGGGGCAAACATGTGCATTCTGAGATTCTAACTTTCAAAATCTGTGGAAAATCTTTGGAGGTGTTGTCGGAACTCTGCAGGTGCAGCAAAGCATCACTATGAAATGCATCCTTTTGGTATGATCAGGGTCTGCATAACAAACAGGGACACCAAAGCCAAAAAATGCTGAAAGTTTCTAACGGGATGAACAACTGCTGGAGAAAAAGAAAAGATCACATAATTGCAGTTAAGGTCCGTACTGATGGCAACTCAAATCCCCGGCACAATTACCACTTCCATTTCATTACCCTTAATCACCAGCCTCTAAATCGTCCCAGTGGTGTCACTTCCTGTCATCGCCCAATCGCTCAAAGATCTGATCTGAGGACAGTGAGACTAATAAAGGTGGAGGAGGTGTTCATCTCATCTTGATTCAATCAGATCCTGTTTATGAGGAGATGGTGCAGCGCCCTTCATCATCCCTCTGGACTGTTACAGGCCTCTTCCAGCTCTGACTGATCATTCATCAGGGAACACTGTGAATTATATCCTCAGTGGCTTCTTCAATGGAAGTGTATCTGTGATTCCTTATGCGTGTGTGCTGGTCTCAGCAAAGAGGCCTTGGATACATAAATATTGATGCTGGCCACAGCCCAGCAGCTGAATTTATTTATTGGCACAGGCTTTTTTTTTTTTTCCAGAAATAAGAACGGGTTGCAGCCGAACCAAGCACGACTGCCTTCAGTGGGTTTAGCCTTATGCTAACCAGCTTTGGTCAGCCGAGATGAAGACTCAAAAGCAGTGGAGCCACATCAGGCTGTGTTTTCTGAATTCAGCCCAGCAGATATTTTGTGATGAAGTGCTGTAATTTTTTATGAACATTGCTGCACACACTCCACCTCTACCTCCATTTGCAAATGTTCCGCCTGACTTTCTTTGGGCCTCCAGCATATGGCCTCGACATTAACTCCAGACTGAGATCAGGTGGCAGGACAGTCTCTCGGTTTGTCGTCACTGGAACATCTCAGACACTTCTGGGCAGAATTTGAAAAAACCAACAATTACAATTTGACACTGGCAGAAATTATGCAAGCTGCACTGACCGAGCCCACACGAGCTGCAGTGCAGTCACAGTAGGCCCACTGGATGTTACTTTGACCTGGTCCTAAGGACAGGTAAGGAACTGACAAACTGCTCTACAACAGTAGCAACACAGCTCACACACAGCAGAATGAGCATGTTGAGCCCTCCAGTCACAACTCTGTTTTTCATAACATGCCAATGCACGTCTTCCAGTGTCTAACCTGAGCTGGACACAGTGTCTTGTTACTGAGGGTTTGACCCACAAGCAGCAGATACACTCATCCACACCACAAGAACACACAGCACATGCTCTGTGATTTTAAGAGTAATCATTCAATAAAGAGCAGTTGAGTTTTACCTGAATAAAGTAAGGAGCAGTAAGTGCACTGTTTGGGTGTTATTGTTGGGTCATTAATATAAAAGGTACAAAATTAACAAAATATCAAGATAACCCAATTGATGAAAACACAACCAATCTACAAGTAAATCAGCCTGAAGCTATACTGAAAGATCACTTTGAAACCACTTTGGTCCCTTTAAATTTCTCAACTGGGCATGGCTGTGGCTCATGAGGTAGGGCAGTTGTCTCCTGACCAGCAAGTTGGTGGTTCGACTCCCGGTCTCCCCGCATGCCTAAGTGTCCCTGAGCAAGACACTGAACCCCGAATTGCTCCCGGTGCATGGCAGCCTGTCGTCATCGGTGGGTGAATGGTGTATGATCTTCTGTAAAGCGCTTTGGCCAGTGCAACACACTGTGAGAAAGCGCTATATAAAATACAGTCCAACTATCTTAAATTTAGGAGACAATCATACAAATATAAGGTTATTTAAACCAGCTGCAAGTAATATTTTAATAATTCCACAGTAGAAAAAGGTAATGTGAAAACCACGACACAGTGATAAAGGTGTGTGTGTGCGCATGGTAGTGATGAACATGGTAGACCATCAGCTGAACCTGCAGCTGCCCTCGACTTCACACAGATTTACGGTGTCGAACCACAGCTCTGCTGTCCTGGTTCCGTGTGGAACAGCAGGAAGCTGCTGTTGTCAGAGGAGACGCTCTACACAGCCGCTGTCCGCGACCTGCTCAGCTTCAACCAGCAGACAGAGCCGGTCAGAGACCGGTTGGGGAACACAGTGGAGCATTTAGCAGCTCCAGAGCCAGAGGTTTCCCTCAGGAGGTGGTGGAGACCAAACCCAGAGCCAACAGAGAGGGAGCACTGGGGTTCACCAGGGGGACACAGGCACACTGCACATGGAGGGGCATGTTGTGGAGGTGGAGATAAGAAAATGTCGCCCCCTTGTGGACTGAGCTTGTAAGTGCATTAGGGACCTGCATTGGTGTCAGCTGGTTTTGCATGAAGTGGCCACTTTACTAGCACACAGCCTTCACCAGTCTTTCTCCTTTACTGCGTTACTGTGATCACCAGAGGTCACCAAACAATAAATCCTCACTGTGGGTCATAATATTGTACAAACAACTTTGTGGATCATACAGTAAATACCGCTCATGGAGACAACTAAAAATAAATGTGCTGCTGCAGTATAACCCAGTGTGTGAGAGTGTGTACATTGTCTTACAACTGCAACCCAAACAGGATGTTCCTTGTGCTTGCCACAGTAAACAGTAAAAATACAGAGTTGCTAAGCCCTCTGTGTTTGTGACCTTAGTGAGTGACTTGTGTTTGTGCAGGAAGCGAGCAGGGATTTATTGTGGCATGAGGTAAGTTAATCCGATTAGAAATCAGTGTGATGGAGCAAACCACTTGACTGCAGAGTGATACAATTAAAGGTGAGGCAGCCGTGGTTTCTCCTGAATAACAGACTGCTGTCTCACACCAACCTCAGGACACCTTCAGTTTGTTACAAAGCAGCTGTGATGTCAAAGTCACCAGCTCCTCTCTCAGTGCTTTTTACAGCAGCTCACTCAGAGGTTCAGTAAGTTGTACAGGGCTGATTCCTACCTGATGAAGTCCCCCTCCAGGCCAATGACCCGTTTGATGATCTTCTGCTGGGGATTCCTGGGAGACCTGAGGGGACAGTAAACATACATAAAGCAAACAGGAAACACAAGCAGATCGTGCTCATACAGGTGTGACGCAGTAGGCTGTGGATGTGTGTTTGCCCAATCAGATCCAGTCTAAGTCACTCTTCACTGATCTGCTCTCTCCTCTCTCTGGTCTCTTTTCCTGATGCTTTAACATGTTTTACCACCTGACTAGAAACTACTGATATGACTTTTCTGTCTCCTGTGTGTGACAGAGCTCTGACAGGAATCAATCTCACACCCTCCTTCAAGTCTGATTCACCACCTTACTCAACTAGCTGCAATTTTAAAAACCATAAAAAACTACTAAGAAATCACTGCCTTAAAGAGCAGGTTTCACTAGACTTTGACGAGGCTCTCTGCTCTTGAAAAACTGGGCATTCTGAGCATTTTCAAAGTTAATATGCAAATTATTCTGCATTTCAAATGACAAACGTCTGGGGAAGTATAGCAGCAGCGAACGGGGGCGCTGAGGGTGCAGCAGCTTCGCCTTCCTGTGGCTGACACATGCAGCTTATTTTTTATTGTTGTATGACCTCGTGATTTTTTTTCTTATGGCTCCAACTCTATGTGTACAGCCACATGCACCAAGGTCGCAGGCACATGCATGACCCCTACAGTGTTCACGCCTTTCTGGCTAACTCTGGCATTTACATCATTTCATGTTAATTCAAGTGGACAGTCTCTCTTAAATAAAATGGTTTGCTGGTGCGGTGAGCTGCTGTCTCCTTTTCATGTCAGTCTCACCTTGTGTTCATGTTAGTTCTTTTCTGCTTGGCTGTGAAGTTGTTTTGCTTGAATCAGAAGTGACCGATGTATAAGATGACCCCGACGCTGCTGTTTTCAGTCCAAACAGGAGGATGTAGAAACTGCTAGAAGCAGTTAATGCTTGTCATTTCAAATAAAGAAATGTCCTGCTTTGAGTGTTGTCGCTACAGAAAAAAGTCCGACATTCGGCACACGCAGCTGGTGACTCCCACTCCCCACTTCTGCCCCCTATTTCCAGAATTTTCCCTTGGGGGTTCATAAAGTAATCTACTGGTTTACGCTCTGATTGGATCGACTGTGCTTCCAACTAGGAAACAGATGACAATAAGCACAACAGCAGACTGGTCTGAATCGCTGAAAGTACCGGAGACATGCGTGGAGAATCTGACTGTGAGGTCAGAAAACCAGCTGAAATCTCAGCACCTTGCCAGACACTTTACCAGGCAGGCTGGGCAGTGAGACACCGATACTTCACTCTGGTCCCTTTGTCTGAGACAGCAACCACCAGCGGCATGTGGTGTCCCAGTGAGTCCCTCCCAGACAGACAGACAGACAGACAGACAGACAGACAGACAGACAGACGAGGCTTTATCTTTCTCCTCCTCTTCCCCCACCTGTTCCTCCACCAGATCTTCCTCAGCTTCCTCCTCCTGATTCATTTCCTTCATTTTCTTCATCCTCGTGTTCTTCTTTAATCTCTTCCTCATTTTTCTCCCTCCTCCTCCTCCTCCTCCTCCTCCTTTATTCACCCCATCACCTCCTCCTCGTCGTTGCTGTGGGGACACAGGGATCAGCCGACTGACGGCTCACAGAGCCAATTGTATTCATCCACAGACGTGGAGCTGAACGCTCATTGGCCGGTCTCTCGGCAGCTGAATGTATCATCATGTGTGTATAAGTGTGTGTATTTGTGCGCATCGGTGTATGTTAGCCTGTGTGTAACCGAGTGATGGATGAGCCCCTCTCCAACAGCAGAGGAGAAGAAGGATGGAGGAAAGACAAACACAACCTATCATTCACTCTGTGTGTCTCCCTCTCTCTCCCAGTGCCCCCCCCATCTCCCTGTCACTGTGGAGAGGCAGAGAGAAGACGTTTGTTCTCGGAGATGCTCAAGGAAAACAGGAGAGACGCTGCTCGTGCTGGATGTTAACGCGCGGCGCTGCATTCCTTAAATAAAACGCCCGAGCTGCTGCAACCATGCGAGGAACGCCTGCACGGGTGTGATGGATTCGGCTTCTGCTGGTGAGTGTTTCATCGCTGTCCGACTTGTGCGTGTGGTGGGGGTGAGTTGGCAGGACTGCGGTAGTCCTTGAGCGCTGTGGCCCCTCAGCGTGTGGTTTTGACACTGAGGGGAATAAGAAAACAGGGCATGGGATTTTGGTGGCAGGTTTTCGATGTGTGCGAGGATGCTGCAGCTGCTCATGTTGTGTTTCCAGTCTTTTTTCCTGTATTTGTCAGTTCAGTTGCTTCTTTTGCTGCTTCTAAGACAGAGGGCTCGGCAGACTCGAGTCTTGTCAGCGTCGCTCCACAGGTTCAGAAGTCTGAGAAAGGCAGGATGTGCAGCAACACCAAACGAAGTCAAAGTGACAACGGGTATAGGAAAGATTCGGCGACAGCATGCGACAAAAGACTCACGTTAACAAGCTACATGCGCGTCGGGGAGGCTGAGCCATCAGGATGCTCCAAAGTGACCGAGCTTCATCAGCTCCGGTCGGAGCCGCTGTGGACAGGCGGCGTGCGCTCCTGATGTGCCGGTTTCGGTCGCCGGACTGGCTGCAGGGCGACCTGCTCCGACAGGAGTAAAGACGTTCCCCCACTGTCTGCCTCAGTTACCAGACCCTCCCGACATACGCACACGCGGTCGTAATTAACAGCAGCAGTACTAAGGCGTCTTTAAGGGTACATATTGAAATTCAGCACATTTCTTGCTCGGCTAAACGGGGGCCAATTAAAAAGGGCCGAAGGCTCCTGACGCCGAACAAACGCTCAGTTTTCTCACGTCAACATGCAGCAGTGTCGGACTTTAAAGACGCAGCCCCCGGAGCTCCACAAGTAAAACGTCGATGTCACCACATGATTTCCAGAGGCCTGACATTTGTTGTGACTAGACTACAAACCAGCCAGTTCTGTTTTATGGCAAGGAAAGTAGCAGGAGGATTATCTGGCGTGACAGGCGCTGATTAAATAGCCCGTTTTCTGGACGGTCGCCCCTTCAAGAAATAGGTTCCAAGCACAAAGTACAAATATGACACCCGCGTGCACCTGCCATCACAAGAACGTGTTGCGCTTCTTTTAGATGGATGTGGCTTAATGTGTAACGGGAACCTCACTCAGGGCCCCTCGGCCTCGGTCTGTTGGGTTTCTGATCAGACTGAGTCCACATCATGAAGCAGCCGTCCACGTCCAAGCAGCACCAGCAGAGTAACAAAGCACATTTACACAGTTTTCTAGTTTG